TTGTTTTTTGTATTACAAGTTTTCTGAAATAGCATGTTTAAATATGCAAATGATCCATTATCTCATTAAATATGCACGTATTTTAACTATGGCTGTCAGTCGATTAAAAATAGTTAATCGCAAATTAATCGCACATTTTTTATCTGTTCTAAATGTACCTTAGAGGAATATTTTTCAAGTTTTTAATACTCTTATCAACATATGGACAAATATGCTTTATGCTAATGTTTATTATCATTTGAACAATGAAAAATATTCTCATGAATATTAAACACAACAACCTCTGAACATTACAAATATTCGCCTCAATTCAACCTGGAACCTCTCTCATACAATACAAATTGTGTGTGTGTGTGTGTGTGTGTGTGTGTGTGTGTGTGTGTGTGTGTGTGTGTGTGTGTGTGTGTGTGTGTGTGTGTGTGTGTGTGTGTGTGTGTGTGTGTGTGTGTGTGTGTGTGTGTGTGTGTGTGGTGTGTGTGTGTGTGTGTGTGTGTGTGTGTGTGTGTGTGTGTGTGTGTGTGTGGTGTGTGTGTGTGTGTGTGTGTGTGTGTGTGTGTGTGTGTGTGTGTGTGTGTGTGTGTGTGTGTGTGTGTGTGTGTGTGTGTGTGTGTGTGTGTGTGTGTGTGTGTGTGTGTGTGTGTGTGTGTGTGTGTGTGTGTGTGTGTGTGTGTGTGTGTGTGTGTGTGTGTGTGTGTGTGTGTGTGTGTGTGTGTGTGTGTGTGTGTGTGTGTGTGTGTGTGTGTGTGTGTGTGTGTGTGTGTTTAAACCAGCTGCGGGCAGCACTCTGAGAGTCACAGACATTAAGTCATAGATCAAAGCAGACTGGTTTACAGACTCCTGTTTTACCAAACCGGTGCTTACACAAATAGCTCTACACCCCTGGCCGACATGTCCATACAATTAAGTCCGAGTTCGAAATATATCTCAAATAATGTATACACTGTCATTTCCCCACGTAAACATAACAGTCTGCAATGAAATGGTTTTCTCCTGTGCGCTCCACTTCCTCCTTGGCGCACCGGTAACTTTCTCAAAAAAGTCGGGATAAAGGGTTAGTTTCTCGTGCTCACGGAAACTAACCCTTTTTTTTCTCTTTCTTATTTTTCTTTTTTTTTCATGTCCCTTTTAGGGCAGGGCTGTCAAACTCAAATACACAGTGGGCCAACATTTAAAAAATCGTTACTAGTCAAGCGCCGGACTGATTCAATGTTTATTGCAGAACTTATTGAAATGAACTTATTGCACAAATTAAACCTGGAGCTAACAAAGCTTAAATTATTGCCTATAAAAACAACATATAGCATATAGCAACATAATCAGTTGCATTCATTTCTTATGGCTCTATCTGCAGCTTTTAGCTGGTGCTAGCGAGCTACGCTAACGGATATAAGGAGTTTTTTTCAACAACAAAGTGGAGGAGAGTCCTCTCCTGTCAGACTGAGAGACTCAGTGAGCTAAAGGACTCTCTCAGTGTTATCTCAGTGGGTCTCACACGTTTTGGTCACCATTAATGTAAACAATTATTTCCGAGGCACACATTTATATGATCATTATAGTTATAAAAAAATAAGAGAATAAATGAATAACAGGTATGAAATAATATATGACAGTAACAAAAGAATAAAGTTTAAAAGGAGAGTGATTAGTAAAATATCCATAAAGAAAAAGTAAATCTGTTCACAGTTCTGTTTCATGTGGGTGTTGAGAGATGCTCTCAAAGTGCACCAGATTGATGCTTTTAACTTCAATATTTAAAAATAAATCTTCCCGGGGGAGCTTGCCCCCGGACCCCCCCTATGTGAGGTCCACACACCACCTATAAAAATAGCACTTTACCCCTGCTTACACCTATATGCCGTGAGCTGATTATCGAGCCTTCATTGTAACAGTCGCGGGTACACTGTGTATATGCGTGGGGATTGTTGCAGTAAAACATTCCTCTGTAGCGACCGGTACATTAATGGGAAACCCTAAATGTTTGAGCACCCTCTATGAAACGTCAAGCTACCCCACAGAACCCTCAAAATAAATCTCTGTCGCCGCCACTGAGCCTGACTATTTGTGTTGGTGGGGGGCCCGACTTTTTTTTTCTCCAAAGGGGGGGCCTGACAGAAAAAGTTTGAGAACCACTGGCTTAACCTGTTTAGCGGGGGCTCTCTGGTTTTTTTTCTCACGAAACTGTGTCTCAGGTTTTTAAATGTTAAGAAGCCCTATGATTGTGTTATACCCACTTAACGGGAAGAAACTCAGCTAACTGACGATATGAACCATTTTTACCGAAACAAAACACAAGTCTCACAAGAAGCATCTAAATGAGCCCTGAGCGAAGAAATACTAACACACTTAGCACAGAACTATAGGTATAAATACCCTTATTACTTATCGGATCTGTACAAACAAGATATCGATTATCAAGCTGAGATTCCACAGATTCCAGACGTATAAGTATCATCACTGAGATAGAACTCGCGACATGGGAAGCAAAACCAGACATCACACCACGTAACATTACGGAGCATTCACGGGACATTGTCTTACCTTTGCTGTTGTTCTGATAAAAAGTCGTGTTCAATGGCATTAAAATGATAAAAACGCTGCTGAAGGTTAATCCAATGTGTCTGTGTCACTTTGAAATGATTACTGATAATCCATCATTCACTTTATGTCAATAACGGAGTTTTCATATTAGCTGAGTGTATCACAGCTTCCGGTTCCGGGGCATTCTGGCTACGCATCACTCATTCACCAATGGGTAATGTTTAGATGGATTTTAGGAACTTCCCCTCAATTCTATTGGCTCTAACGGTTAAGAAGAGATCTCAATCATCAAAATCGAACAAGGGGGGCCAGAGATATGGAAAATGCACCCAAATGACCCAGAAGTGGGTTTTCTTTTCTAAATCTCGCTAAAAAGGTCAAATTTCACTTGTTTTGCATCAATCTTGATACAGGGTACTTATTATATGTTATAGTTTGGATTCCTAAAGCTTTTAGTCTACTATCCCATCATCCAAGGGTGGTTTTCACGATAAGTACTGTTTTTTTTTTGGACGGACACTATAATTTACTTTTTTTTTTACTATGTTCAATCTGAATTTACTTTAAAATAAACAAAATCTATATTGATTGTGACTTTTCTACATCCAACTCGAAGGTTTATCATTGCTTTGAGAAAAAGGATTATTAATTTACCCCTTTTTAAAAGGGAAGATATAGTCATTTGTTCTGGGAATGTCATTTTCGAGCCTGAGACCTGAAAAACTGGCTCAGGGTTAAAACAGGTTAATGCACAAAGGCAGCAGTTCATCGGCTTATCACGCTGAAATAGAGAGATTTGTGCCGCATTGATGCAGTTATTCACGCTAAAGGAGGTCCAACCAAGTACTGAATGCATAGACATTAACATGATTTTCAGAAGGACAGCATTTCTATATTAATAAAAAATCAGTTTTGCATTTTGAAGCAAAGGCTGGTCAGTATAGGCATGTCCAGCCATGCAGTAGGGTGGTTTGTAAACTACCTCTCTGAAAGGTCCCAATGTGTTCACTTTGATGGGCTGTCTTCTGAGTGGTTAAACATCACTAATGGTGTTCCTCAAGGTTCTGTTTTAGGTCCACTATTATTCTCTGTCTATATTAATAGTTTAGGTGAAAATGTCGAAGGAGCAACCTTACATTTTTATGCGGACGATACCGTTATGTACTGTGCAGGTCCCTCGATTAACGAGGCTGTTGTTAAATTACAGGCTGTTTTTAACATTATTCAGGCTCAGCTCTCTGAGCTTAAGCTTCTTTTAAATGTGGCTAAAACCAAGGTAATGCACTTTTCGAAAGCTAAAGCTAAAAATACACCAGAGACTGCTTTGGATATTGTAACTACGCAAGGAATAAAACTCAAAGTGGTTACCTGTTACAAATACTTGGGTATCTGGCTTGATGACTGTCTCACTTTTAAACTTCATGTCAATAACCTGCTTAAAAAGCTGAGGGTTAGGCTAGGTTTCTTTTACAGAAATAAGTCCTGTTTCTCGCTTGAGGCCAGGAAAAGGCTAGTCACTGTGACCTTTTGACCTGTGCTGGATTATGGTGATTTGTTAAATATGAATGCACCTGCCAATTACCTGAGCAAGTTAGATGCTGCGTATCACAGTGCACTGAGATTGTTGACAAATTGTAAAGCACTTATGCATCACTGTACCCTGTATACCAAGGCGGTTATGCCATCACTTACTGTACGGAGGCTCAGTCACTGGTACTTTTTCATTTACAAAGCAATGTTGGATAAACTACCATCTTATATCTGCTCCCTGATCTCTCTGCGAATTGAAAGTACTTATTGCCTGAGATCGCATGCTGTGGTTTTATTAAATGTGCCAAGTAATAGGACTGTCTTAGGGAAGAAAGCTTTTAGATGTGCAGCTCCACTAACATGGAACAGTCTGCAAAAAGAATGGAAAATTACCAAGCTAGTACCACTACATGTTTTTAAAGCTCGGTTGGATGCTACAAAATCAGATGCTGTTGGTACCTGTACATGTGGTTAAATATGTCAATTGTAATCCCTGTACATGTTGCCCTATGATGTCCTTTTGTTGTTCTGTTGTTTATGTTTTTATGTCTTCTTGTGGAACCTACTGCTGCAGGTCTCCCTTGAAAAAGAGATCATTGATCTCAATGGGATTTTACCTGGATAAATAAAGGTTTTGAATTGAATTGAGATGCACCTGTATGAGTCCAAGTACAGGTTTAGCGAGGCGGTGAGAGATGCTAAACGACTACTCTGAGAAACCCCAACACCAGTTCTCAGCTAACGACTCTGGAGACAGGTCACAAACTATAAGGCTACGGCCTCACACTCCGTGAAAGGCCGACCAATCTGGAAAAGCATTTAAAATAAGGAATGGATAAGGGCTGCAAAGTTAAAGAAGTGTTAATCGTGGTTAGATTTTAAATTATAATACTCTACAGTTTCTCTGAATATGTGTTTCCTGTTTCCTGCAGACTTCCAGCAGCTGGAGGTGGTTGAAGAAGAGGTTCCCCCTGAGCAGCAGGAGTGGAGCTCCAGTCTGGACCAGGAGGACCCAGAGCCCCCCCCACACATTAAAGAGGAACAGGAGAAACTCTGGAGCAGTCAGGAGGGAGAGCAGCTTCAAGGGCTGGAGGAGGCTGATATCACCAAGTCCACATTCACTCCTGTCCCTGTGAAGAGTGAATATGATGAAGAGAAACCTCAGTCCTCTCAGCTTCATCAAAGACAAACTGAACACCTGGAAACAGAAGCTGATGAAGAGGACTGTGGAGGACCAGAACCAGCCAGGAACTCGGATCCAGAGAGACATTTACAACCAGAGACTGAGGACAACCCTGGAGACTCTTCTGAACCTGACACTGAAAACTCTTCTGAACCTGACACTGAAGACAGGGCTGATTTGAAGGAGACCAGAGAACCAGGTTCAAACTCTCAGAAAAATAAACAAAACCCTGTCAGTGATTCAAGACGTAGTGCAGGAGAGAAATCATTTGGCTGCTCTTTGTGTGAGAAAACATTTACACAGAGAGGAAATTTAAATCGTCACATGAGAACCCACACAGGAGAGAAACCATTTGGCTGCTCTTTGTGTGGTAAAGAAATTCGCAGCAAGTATAATCTAAAAGTACACATGAGAATCCACACAGGGGAGAAACCATTCAGCTGCTCAATTTGTAAAAAATATTTTGGACAGAGAGGAGATTTAAAGGACCACATGAGAATCCACACAGGAGAGAAACCATTCATTTGCTCAATTTGTAAGAAATCTTTTCGACAGAGAGGAGATTTAAAGAAACACATGAGAATCCACACAGGAGAGGAACCATTCAGCTGCTCTATTTGTAAGACATCTTTTGGACAGAGAGGACATTTAAAGTACCACCTGAGAATCCACACAGGAGAGAAACCATTCAGCTGCAGTGTTTGTGACAAAAGATTCACCCGGAGATATCTGGTCAAAATTCATAAGTGTGTTGGTCGTCAGTCCTCACAGCTTCATCAAACTCAAACTGAGGAGATCAGAGAGGCAGAGCCTCCAGCCAGCAGCTCAGCTGAACACATGGAAACAGAAGCTGATGGAGAGGACTGTGGAGGACCAGAACCAGCCAGGAACTCAGATCCAGAGAGACATTTACAACCAGATACTGAGGACAACTCTGGAGACTCTTCAGAACCTGACCCTCAAGACAGCGATTATTGTTAGGTTCAAACTCTTTGAGTTAGTCCCAGTAAATGTTTATAACGCGATACCTGCTCGAAATGTGTTAAAACATCATTGCTCTAAGTGAAGTCTGAATGTGCATTAAAACAAATATTAAGCACAGAAACAATTCCATTGTGCTCTTATGACACAAAAGTAACCAACACTTATGGCGACACTGACAGAGAACCAGAGCCAGCCAAGAACATGACTTTAGCTTCTCCTGACCCTGAAATCAGTGGTGATTGGAAAGATCTGTTATTCCGGTTAAACACTCTGAACCAGTGGTTCTCAACTGGTCAGGCTTCGGGACGCACTTTTTTCCTTTGTCAATAAATCGCGACCGACATTTGCTTATTTGCTTATTTGCTTTTCAGCAGACAAAATCAATTAAAGTGAAGTACAGTGCATATATCCCTTATATCCCTTCACAGAACTAAAGTATGCTTTTAAAAAAGTTTAATGAGATGATGGAATCAAAGCTGAACTGTATAACATAAAAAGGCACACATGCAGAGATTTTTTGAAATGCTAACATATAAACTACGCATTCTGGCAGGGCCTTCCCTGGCCATTTTGTGGCCCCACGCAAAGTTATATGATGAGGCCCTCCGTGTCGCAGCGGCAAAACTGTGCCGCGCTTACACTAATTGCGCCGCATAACGGTGCGCTCAGTTGAGGGGCCCCTCCGCAAGATGAGGCCCCACGTGATCTGAGTGTAGGGAGGGATGGCTCTGCATTCTAGTACACTGAGAAGAAAATAAATAAATCTATTAGGCTACTACCTGACATATTAATAATATTTGATGCCATTCTTTGTGTTTCACTTTGTTCTGAAGCTGAACTTGCTGCTCCTCACAGAGAGAAGAGTAAAGAGGAGATGGTCTGTGTGAATGACTTTAAATTGTGGGTAAGGGTAGATAGCTCCCATTGTACTGTGACCTGTCAATCATCAAACCGGGTGTCATATTTCATTATGTGTTCATTTGTATCCAGTGGTGTAGTGGGCGTTGAACGCGGGGGTACGCCGTACCCCCACTTATTTGGAGCATGATCTTTTTTTTAAGTCTAATAAATATAAAATCATTGCCAGTGTTATCATTTGCAAGTGTGTATTTGTTGTAATAATGACGAAAACATAATACATTTCACAGTAATTATAATAAAAAATTAAAACGATTTCCTTAAAAAAATGTGATTCATCATTCATCAGCTCGTGACCCCGCGGTCACTGACACACCCACGGTGAGCCAGCTCGCCGCGCCCGCCGATTTTGCGGCAGCTCTTTCCCTCAAGAACACTAACGAAAAAGCTCTATAATGGCAGGCTAACATGTTTTACTTGACTTATTTTCTAAAAATAATATAATTCACAAGAAGAAAGAGGCTAGCAGCACCGAAGCTACAAGTGAAGCTGCTATTAATACATCATCAGAAGAGCCGCCTAAAGACGTGGATAATGCTAGCTAACGTGCACGTTAGCTGCGCTAGCAACGTTCCCCTGGCTAGATCAAGCTCACCTTACCCAGAGGTATGGACGGAGGAGATGTGGCGGAGGAAACAAGAGGAATACCCTTGGATACACTGCAAAGTTTGTTCATCCATTTCGGATTTATCAATCTTCAAAACCCTGTGTGTGTGTGTGTGTGTGTGTGTGTGTGTGTGTGTGTGTGTGTGTGTGTGTGTGTGTGTGTGTGTGTGTGTGTGTGTGTGTGTGTGTGTGTGTGTGTGTGTTTATTTGCTTATTTGCAATGTAGGCTAGGCCTAATCAGAATAATGTCAAGTCCAGATTCAATGTTGTTTGCATAAGTATGGCTATATTTTTCGTTTTGTTTATTTAATAACTTAATTTCAGAGATAGAGAGAGAAGCAGCACTGTCTGCTTAGTTGCAATACTGTAGCTTATGCAATTTAGGCCTATAAATTGCATAAGATACTTATGTGCCAGTGTGTCCATGGTTTTGAGTCTGTGTGTGTGTTGAGCGCAAAGTGACTTACATACTCAATACTGCGGGCAATCCCCACAGGAGCAATTTGGAGTCTCTGGTCGCTACAACGAGGAAAATAAATTACGGGCCAAAAGTTTTATTTACAAGTATTAAAAAGTAAGCAGAGGACACCAAACCAACTGAGACCTGTCTGTCCGCTGCATCTACGCACACACTGTACCACACACGCAACTACACACTGTACCACACACACCTACACCACACACACGCACATACAGTTCCTAAAACAGGCTACAGCCGTTGTGTATTGTATTATGTGAAAGCACTAAATGGTTTTAGAAAAATATCGACTCTTTGTTTGTAGATATCTACTAAACTAAAGCAAATAAAGAGAATAGGCCTGTTATACTGAGTGATATATGTTGAACTGTTGTGAACGATTCATCTCTTGAATGCTCATATGCTGACGTCATATCTGTCAATCTCTCAATCACACAGCTGGTTCTAATAAAGGGATCATTGCTGGCTCACTCGGGGGAATTCAGTCAGTGTCATGTGAACTACAATGCAAGTGTGTCGCGTCTTTTATTCCTCCGTAGTATTAGTTCAAGGCTATCTAGACCTTTGCTGGTAATGGCTGCTGCGCCAACAGGTTATGGGCCCAGAAAGGATTTTGGAAAACCGATGGAATTGTTTGTGCTTTGACGGAGATGAGAAAAACTATGAGTTGTGGGAAACAAATGTTCTTGGCCACCTGCGTCTACAAGGGTTGAAAAGCACCATATTGAAAGAGCCTGACAGTGGCGGAGGCGAAGAGGACGCAGAAGGAGCCGCGGTAAGAGCCGCAGAAGACGCTGATAAAAATGAAGAAGTCAACGCTGAACTTATTCAATTGTTGGACGATACAAGTTTGTCTCTGGTCATGAGAGATGCAGCGGACGATGGAAGAAAGGCGTTGAAGATTCTGAGGGATCACTACGCAGGTACAGGAAAACCGCGTGTGATCAGCTTGTATACAGAGCTTACGTCTCTCCAGAAATATGCTAATGAAAGCATCACAGACTATATTATACGAGCAGAGACTGCTATCACAGCACTGAGGAATGCAGAAGAGATTTTGAGTGACGGTTTATTGATAGCTATGATTCTGAAGGGGCTGCCAGCGTCATCTAAGCCGTTTTCTATCCACACTACACAAAGTGATGAGAAGATCACCTTCGCCGAGTTCAAGACCAAGCTGAGGAGCTACGAGAGCACTGAGAAGTTCAGTGGGAGCTTAGTTGATGACAGCGTGATGAAAGTAACGGCCCGTCCACACAGCGGCGTGCGTTGACGCTTGCCGGCGGGCGTGTCTGACACTCGACCAACAACCAATCACATGAATCTCCCGCCCCTGACACACAAGCAGCGGTTTGATTGGCTAGAACTTGTACTGGCATATGATTCGATTGGCTGACGCTTCTGCCGAGGCGTCAAAAGTTGAACATTGCTCAACTTTTGCAGCGAGCCACGCCAGCAACGCTCCGCGTCGCTTCCCACGATGCAGTTCGGCTAAAAGTGACGTCACCCCATTAAAAGTGAATAGGCAGAAGCGTTGAAAGCTGCAACGCACGCCGCTGTGTGGACGGGCCGTAAGAGGCAAAGACTTTGATGTGAAGCTGCTGACCTGTTATACTTGCGGCCAGAAGGGCCCGCGAGTGCAAGGCTGCTGGTCACGGGGCACAACAGAGACAGTGGTGCCGTTTTTGGCAGGAGTTCCACGCACAGAGATGCAAACTGCAGGCGGAGAGGATGATGAGACAACGTAAAACAGGCCATGGATGAAGAGGACCACGACCACCACCACACATTCGCCTTCAAGGCCCACGAACAACAGGTGGACAGCGACCCGGGCGATGGACTGAAGCAAAGAGGGCTTATGGTCGACAACGGCGCTATATCGCACATAGTGACTGACATGAACAAATTCAAAGACTTTGACGAGAGTTTCGAGCCACGAAAACATGTCCTGGAGTTGGCTGATGGAGTGAGGGCCTCTGGCATAGCGCTGAAGAGAGGTGCAGCCAAAGTTTGGCTGAAAGACAATACGGGTCGAGAGGTGAAGACGATGCTGACGGGGGCACTGTACGTCCCATCCTTTCCCCAAGACATTTTCTCGGTCAAAGCAGCGACGACCAATGGAGCCACTGTCGTATTCAAAGAAGGACAGAACAAGCTCATTCACGAGAACGGTACGACATTTGATATTAAGGTGTATGATAGATTGTTTTATTTAAACACAGTTAATGATGAAAATGTTGATGAATGTAATGGGTGTTATGATATCAAAACATGGCACGAAATTCTAGGTCACTGTAACTACGAAGATGTGTTGAAATTGCAAAAAGTCACAGAGGGTATGACAATTAAAGGCTAAACTGATACATCTAATTTGACATGTGAAGTGTACACAAAAGGTACATTTGCTCGTAGCAGGAGCAGAGAGCCAGATGAAAGGGCAAAGGCTGCACTGCAGCTTGTACACACAGATGTGTCTGGACCTATAGATCCTACAGCTAAAGATGGGTTCAGATACACATTAGCATTTACTGATGACAATTCAGGAGCAGTTTTTGTTTATTTTTTGAAATCTAAGAGTGACACAGTCAAGGCTACTGAGAAGTACATTGCTGACGTTTCACCTTATGGAAAAATCAAATGCATTAGATCTGATAATGGTACTGAGTATACTTCTGGTCAATTTCAGTCATTGCTAAGTAGAAATGCCATCAGACATGAGACCTCAGCTCCTTATTCACCCCATCAAAATGGGACAGCTGAGAGAAATTGGAGAACATTGTTTGAAATGGCAAGATGCATGCTTGTAGCAGGACAGGGAGAAAGTAAACCCACTCCTACAGATTCCCTGAGAAAAAGGGGAGTGGCTAATCAAGCACCCCTGAGAGAAACTGGAGGAAACAATCAAGAGAATGATTGGCACCTGTGTGCTGTTAAAAGGAGGACAGCATGTCATTCGAAGGAGGGAGAAAGAAGCAAGAGGAAGTCGGAATCGAACAAGGAGAAAAGTGGATTCTTGAGGACTTCATCAGCTGAATCAGGCTATATTTTGGGAGTTTTTGTCACTGAACACAGGAGCTGTTGGGGAAACATTCAACTTTCCCCTTCCAAGTTAACCCTGC